AGGCATGGACGCAAAAACCTGGACATCTTCCTCGACCATCTAAACAAACAGCACCCAGACATCCAATTCACCATGGAAGTTGAACAAAACCACCAACTGTCCTTCCTGGATGGTTTGGTGTCGAGGCAGGGGAATCGTTTGGACCATAAGATATATCAAAAAGGCAGCCCACACAGACAGATATCTTCACAAGCTTTCTAACCACCATCCGAGTCAGAAGCAGGGAATTATTAAAACTCTCACGGATAGAGCCAGAAAAATATGTGGGCCACAACATCTAACTACAGAACTACAGCACCTGGAAAAAGCTTTTCTTCAGAACGGTTATTCCCAGTTGGACATCAAAAAAGCTGTAGGAGTGGGCCGRGCGGAAAAAAGTGAATCCACTATGAAAGCTTTCCTGCCCTTTGTTCCCAGGGTTACGGACAGAATTGGGAGGCTCCTGAGGAAAGACAACATAAGAACAATCTACAAGCCCACAACAACGATCCGAGAATGTCTAGGATCAGTTAAAGACAGAAGAACCCCCCTCGCAACTGCAGGAATCTACCGGATTCCATGCTCCTGTGGAAGCGTCTACATAAGAACTACTAAAAGATAGGTTGCGACGAGAATAGAAGAACACCGACGGAATTGTAAACTGGGACATGTAGAAAAGTCGGCAGTGGCGGAACACGCCCTCAGCGATGGAACACACAACATCTATTTCGGAGAARCACAGGTCCTGGCCACAACAACAGGGTATCGCCCCCGACTAATACGAGAARCCWTTGAAATCCACAGATACGACGGCAATTTCAACAGAAAAGAAGAGACAATGGCGCTAAACAGTATATGGTTTCCAGCACTCACCAACSCAAAAATAGCAAGAAAAAGCAACAGCTCAGGACAGGAGAGAGGATCCAGTACACCGGAGGATTGCAACAGCCAACAGAATGCGCAGGCTCCGATGCACGTCATCACAAAACACGTCAGCGCAACCGGTGCATATATACAGACTGCGCCCGAAGAATCGCATCGGAACAGTGCAAGCCTTCAAGCAAACCACTTCTGAAGATGCAATTCACTCGTGCTTGCGAAACGTCAAGAAGAAAATCTACCCAACGGCCTAAAACCCCGAAAAACCCATTAGTTTCAAGGAATGGCCTCGAAAGTCTATCTCTTTTGATCTTGAACATGTTCAGGCCGGACCACGGCTTGACGAGCGTTTTATATCGGAATAAGGAATAAGTCATAGGCACGGCACGTTGGATAGGAGTGAAATATACAAGCTGAATTGTTCTTCCTGTAAGGTGTCCTATATTGGCAAGGCCTATATAAGACAATTAGAAAGCTGAGGAGCTGAATCAAAGGGTATTTAGAGTAGCTTGACAAATTGAATTTCAGACTTTATTTGTCTTTTTCCGGACACAGTTTTGCATCTGCAGTTAACGTGAAGATTCTATATAACGTCCACAGTTCCTCCTTTAGGGTGAAGTTGCTGCAGGATTTGGAGATTCTTAGGGAGACCGATAGTGTGGATTTTAAGTTTCTGAACACACAAGTGAATTTAAATTGTGACTTTTCTCCAATTTTTAAGGGATTATATGGATTCGAATCCCAACACGAATAGTAGTAGTAGTAGTTATCCGAACAGTTTCTCAGGTTTTTTGTCAATTATATTGGTTTTAGTTTAATTTTCATTGGTTTATTGATTTTTCTGCGCAATATGTGACGTGAGGTATGGGACTGCAAATTATTATTTTGTCAAATGGTAAACAAAATTATTTCAGTTTTCGGAAACTCTAATTAATTGGGTATTCAATTATCTTCACTATGTTCACAAATAGTTTTCTGCTTTGTAAATTCTTGTTGGCGTACTTGTACTAATTCCTTTGTCTTTGTATTATGCTTGATATTACCTATGTTTAAAAATCAAAAAGTGCTACTCGGGATAATGTCGATTGCAGAGGAGATCATAAATTATAAATACTAAGCTATTTTATTTGTTCAAATATAATTTGTTATCAATAAAATATAACTTATAACACAAAAATCTAGTCTAATCAATTAAAATTTATATTTTCAATATTCATTTATTAGCAAGCTATTTGAATATCAAAATATCTATATAAATAAAATTAGTTTTAAAACTTTAAAAACATATTTTGATATAAAAATAGCACCCATCCATTGAACAGTAATGATACGCTTTCTCTCAACAAACTTAAGTGCTTGTAAGCCGTTTTAGTCCCAACCAGATACCACCTTCTGGTGCAGGATTAAATGATTTGGCAGATAATTTAATAGGAACTGTGGTTGTTTTAGTTGGTTCTATTTCAAAGTTTAACAGCAAGTTATAAAATAAAGACTTCATTTCTAGAAGCGCAAATCTTGATCCAATACAGTTTCTAGGACCTGCACCGAAAGGCACATATGTGTAAGGTTTGATATTTCTTTTATTCGCATCTGAAAATCTTTCCGGGTCGAAGTTTGTGGGGTTTTCAAAATTTTTTGGATCTCTGTGAATTCCAAATATTGGAATCCAAAATACATCCCCAATTCTTAAATTAACTGGTTTTTCATCCGCGTTTACTGGTTCAATAGTGTACGGTTTAGTAGCAACTCTGTCGACTACTCCTGCAGGCGGCCACTTTCGCAAAATCTCTAAAAATAAGGAAATATCACACCCAAACCAATTTTTTATCTTCGCCTTAATGTTCTTGTAGGTAAAAATGCGGAATTGTTACGAATGTAATGGAAAGCATTGATAACTTATCAGGAAGTTGAGAATGATCGTAAAATATTAGGTTAACTCGTAACGGAAAACATTTTATTGCACTAAAGAGAAAATTTCATTTAAAATGGGGCTGCAAATTAAACAATTATTTACCGGAAATCACCTTATCCATATACTTCATCTTCAGCAAAGAGTCATATGTTACTTTGCCACCATTTAACCTGTGGGTTTCAACAATTTCACTTCTTAATTTATTCTGTATTTCTTTGTTAACTGCCAGTTCATATGAACCAAAACACATAGCATTTGAAATAGTATCAAATCCAGCTAAATAGAAAACCATTGCTTGAGCAGCTAAATCAGCATCTGTTAAATTAGCAAAATCTATCCCTTGACCTAAAAATTATTTTTGTTTAAACATACACATTTGTCTTATTTTAAGCACTAATATTACATGTGTATATACATGGTTTTTATTATTAGCTTTGTGTTGTAGAGGCTCAAACATGAATTTCCAAGGACTTGGTTGCAGATTCAAGCAGTTTTCTTCTACCAATCATCTAATGATTCTAGCATTTAAAATAAAATGTATTAGAAAAAAGCTGAATAAAAAATAAATGATAATAATGTTTGCTTGCTCAAATCAAGTAAAGTGGGAGTGAAAACGTGATTTAACATAAATTAAAGCTTGCAACAAAAAATGTTGATTCCTGTGCGATGACATCAAGCAAGAGAAATATTTCTGCTGTTATTTTTAACTTATCATTTTAAACCCACAAGTTTATATCTTAATTTGGTTTAATTTTTTCACTTAATCACCACAATTATTAACATAACTTTTTATTGGAGGTATATTGGGTTACACCAACCTATTTCATTGTAACTTTCTGCTTTTATCTATGGTTACTTGAGCTTTTGATTTTTAAGTAGCAATAGATATTTACATAATATTAATAAGGCAGATTACTTTAAAACACATTGCTGCCTGCGTTCTGATCTAGTTCTTTGCAAATATCTCTTGCAATTATTTTTTCACTATTTTTCGTGCATTTCATAGTCACCCCTAGACAATACCCCCAAATTAATTAAGCCGATTTTGAATCAGTCTGTATGTAGTTGTGGAGAAAATATAGTATAATTAATATCTATAGACTGTCTACATACCGGAATGTGCAGATTCTTTGACAGTAGCAAAACCTGTTTCTATAGCATCAGAATATTCATGTTGAATTCCTTTTCTTGCTTCTAATAATGTATTCAACATGTCCCGTCTAACGATTCCTTTTTCTTCTCGAACTTGAATAGTTTCTTTAATACTTTTATAGAAAAAGGATGATAGTTCTTTGTCGAATAGACCAATATTGAAAAACTGAAACGAAAACACATTAGTCGCTAAGATGTAAATACATACAGAGTAGACCGTAATGAATACGTTTTAATATAACTGCAGATTCTAGATATCAAAATTATAGAATCTAATCAAACTTGCCTTGGTAAAATGTTGCTCGATTACAATAATTCAGGGCGTTAGAACTTATATATCAATTAAAATTTATCCGCAAAAACTTTGAATTTAATCGTACTTATACGTATATTAAAAATGTAGGGATTACGATCAGACTGATCAATCTGCTGCTACAAACCGCTCTTCTACCGGAAAAACCATCATTCAGGAAATTTCGATTCCGTTATGTCTAATCGTCGCTTCAGGAACCAGCAATGAATAGAACAATATTATGAGAAAACGAAGGACGCCTACGCAGGAATCTGCATGGCGCTTTAAGATCAAGAAGAAAAATGTACAATGAGAAGCATAAACCAAATAAGTTGCTTTGCATATATTTACCTATCTAGTATGGGAGACCCTTTTTTCGAAAAATCGGAAGTACTCTTTATCACTTAGACGAGTTGACATATCCGCCAATTGTAAAATCGCCCAAAATTCTTAAAATAAGTAAAGTCCAAGCGTTATTGGTTGCTTTAATTGGCAATATTTCGAAAACCAGCTGCGTTATCAATAACAAACACGTGTACCTTTATACCTTAAAAACAATCAGTCTAGCAAATTCGTTTTTCAAAACTGCTACCAGAGACAACTCTCTGCTGCTACATTGTTTACCATCAAACGGCTTTGCTGAAAAATAACTAAACAGTAGATCGTGGATGGCGCCGTCTTGAACGTACCTTGAAAATAAGCAAAAATTCGAATTCCTCGCCTCTACAGACTCACTATTCCAAATTGTAAAAGCACAATCAAAATCGTAGATTGAGAGCCATATTTTACTTGATATATTTTGGGTAAATCCGATTAGATGGATATCTTGAATCTGCAGTTACAATATAGCGTATTCATCACAGATAACCCGGTATTCTGAGAAAGTAAATTAAAGCAAAGCTACCAAAACTAAGGACACTTAGCAAAATAATCTTCTAGAGACTGATTATTCACCTTGGTCAGTTTCGGCATTATCAGAATTGCGAAAAATCGCAAACGTTTAAGCAGAGGAGCATAATCTGTGATTCGCTTTCCCATTAAATGGAAAGGGTTGCTTGGACTTTTGAGCGAATCTACTTCGATTCCAAAAGCTGTTGTGGCAATTATATCGTTTGCAAATCTGAAAATATAATTGACGAACATTTGCACGTCTTGTTCATCCATTGCTCAAATGCAGAACACTTATGAAAAAGATACTTTGATTTTTTACCTCGAAAACGTATCCCTCATTTCTACTTCAATAAGTTTTTCATTTTTGTTTAAAAAAAACGCAACAAAATTTTCAGCAGTCCCATTTATGAAATGGAACATTTTCTTTATTTTGCTGCTCGTAAATGAACCGCTCAAAGTAGCTCTCATATCTTTCCATTTCCGACCTGAAAAACGACAACAAAATACTATATGACAATTTATATTTTTTATTCATCGTAACCTGTCAAAGCGAATAAGTTTCCAGCCCATAACGGATCCACATCAGCATCTACTAATGTTCGATGATCAGTAAAGTGGTCGAAATCTCTGACAGTTAACTGTTTAAGTAACTCGGGATCCTTAATAATTAGAGTGGGTATGTGGAACTGATAAATGCCAGAATAGCTGTAAAGGTATAATTAGAGTCACAGATGTGAAAACCGTTCTGGAGAAGTAATTAATTCATATGTTTTATCAATTAACAAATGAGATTCTTAGATATCTGGGGAATAACTGCTTACCGAGTACCTGGAAACATATTGTAGTAGAATTCAATACTTTCTAAGAGGCTCATTTTTTGAAACATGTGTGTCCATTGGTCTCCAACAATGGGCCACGGTTTCGACTGCTTTACTCCCAATTTGGTGAAATGATTCATGGGTTTCAAAAATCGAAACCATGCTAGAACTGCTAGCGTGATTGATAATATTATCCACAGCATCATAAAAGCTTAGCCTGAAAGTTACAAAATATTTGAAGCTAAAACAAGAGCCTGTATACCTGGTGAGCAAATTAGAAATGGCGTCAACAATTTCAGCAATTATGAATAATAAACTAGAAAAACAATATTTTTCGTGAAATTATTTCCAAAACTTAGAAAAAACAAAAACGTATTGCTATTAAGGTATTTTATTAAACAACCGTTTTTGCTTGTATCACACATACATATGCTTATGTATGTGTATGCTATATGTATTTGTTACCGGCAATGTACAAAATACTTAGGCATTCTGCAAACTCTCCAACTCCCCAGGCATTTTGCAGAATTGTTAATACTTTCGGCAATTGCAATAGCACATTGACTACGGTATTTCAGGAAATCTGAAAAATGTCGTAGGCAGTAGTCAATGTGAGTGTCACATAATTTTAATCTTCACATTGACTAGACAATGTGCATAATACCGGGATGCAGCAAAATTGCTGTCTACTCCCTGCCGAGCGGCGATTATGCCAAACTTTGTTGTTCAGTGTTAAAGCAAGGTCGAGCGGAAAAAAAGACATTAGAGAACATAAAAAGAGATTATACAGGAGTCATTATATACGAGTCAGCGAAGACACCCTCGAATATCGTACAGAAATAGCGACTGAAAAAAAATATAAATTTAATATTTATATAAAAGTGTTGTGGTTGTTACCAAAGTATTTGTTTCTGTTACTTTGAAGCATAAAGGAGCAAAATAAAATTATGACGGTCAAGTTTATGTTTTTTAAATGAAATGGCCTGTTTTAATCCAGAATCAGGTGAATCTACATTGAATTTTATGTATTTGTGGTATAACATACTATGTGATCGAATTCAATAGTTTTGGACATAGCGGCATTTAAATCATGGGTAGCAATAAAAGTATACTCTATGATTTTTTTTGATGATTATTTTTTTTACTTAATTATAATAATAATAATAATAATAATAAATGAAATTATTTTATAGGAATATTAAAACAAATGTTCTGGTTTGTGTTTTGTTCTGTTCTCAAATCATATCGTCTATTTTATTTCAAAAAATAATAATAAAGTTAACTTTTGTTACGTTCCCATATTCAAATGTCGTTATGTTCAAAACCATTGGATTAATTCTCATAGCATGTTATCCCAAAAATACTTCTAATGCAGCACACCTTTTCTGGATAATCTTGTGTGTTGTTTCATAGGTATTTCGTCTTTAATTTTTCATTGGAAAAGACGTCTCCTATTCATTACACCGCTTTCAACTTTAAAATAAATAATATGTAAACCCGAATACCCAACTACCGAAAAATCAATTTTTTGCACGACACAAATAGGACCGGAATAAGAACAAACTAATAATCAAAAAGAAGCACTGGAAACGCGGTAAATTTCACAAAATTGTTTGCTACTTAGGGCAGTAAACAACAGTAAATTTACCTGCAAAACTAGGCAACAAGGTTCCGTTGAAAAACTAACCTGCAACGTTTCGAAGTTACAGGTTTATGCCCATTGTCTAGTCAATCTGAAGATTAAACATATGTAACACTCACATTAACTACCACATACGACACTTTGCAGATTGCCGAAAGTAGACGCGATTCTGCAAAATGTCTGGCGAGTTGGTCAGTTTGCAGAATGCCTAAGTATTTTGCATATTGCCGGTAACATATACATACATAAACAGGATGCCTCAAAATTGTTGGTCAACAATGATAACGTTTCTACATAAGACCTGAAAATAAGGCCAGTACTTTATATAAAAAAGTTTCCCATCTGACTTTCTTATGGAATTATGGGCATTCAAAGTGAAAAATTGAAAAATTAAATTTATTCTTAATTATGACACCGTTTATTTGACGTTGGTGAAATTTTTGTTTTGTTTTGTGATTTTTTGTTCTGTTCTAATTTCGTGCATATATGTGGTCATGGACAAAATAAATCAATCGGGTGGCAATTGAAGATATACCATAAGTCAATAAAATCGCATGCAATTGTGTGCTAAATATCTGTGAATCGTAAGATAGTTTTGGCTGCCAACACTCCACCAGCAAGGATCAAGAGGGAGGCAACCGGCACTTCCTGCAACCTTGTCTCATTTCCCGCATTTATAACTTAGTATCTCAATCTCCCAGTCATCTCAGTTTCAAGTGGAAAAAAAATTTACAGTTATTTTTCTGCAGGAACAGATGTTTTTTATACAGTAAATCTATACTTGATAAAAGTGAGCATATGCTACTAATTTGATGGCCTGATTGGAATAGGTATCTCCGTTCCAACAGTTACCTGTACTGCATCTTTATGTCCAACTCCGATTTTTTTAAATTTATTTTAAGTTTTTAATCCCATTGAATTAGAATTTGATCAGGAACTTTTTTCATATAATTTCTTTGTAAGACTAGGTATTAATAAAACATATTAACTGTTAGGTACTTACAGTTAATTGAAATAGACGCGAGTGCACAAACCAATCTCTGGATTGCACTGCGGTACCTACTGACTTTAAGGTAAAGCTGAACTACGGTTCCCTACAGAACGGAAGCACTACGGTTCCTTAAGACTGCGTAATGCGAAGCTTACAAAGTTACATAGGTCTCATATAAAGCAACTTGAATTAACGACCGATTTAGTAGTCTGTTTACGTTTTTCCTGATGGAATTGATTAGATAAAGTGATCCAGACATTTTCGAGGTACTATTCCACTGACGTAAGATGGTACACTTAATAAACTTGAAAAATGAAAATTGTATTGAAAAAACAAACTCAACACGAGTGTTGAGCGAGAAAACGTAAATTAGACAGAGCTAGCTAAAACATAGATAGCGCTGAATAAAACGATCTGACTATGGAAAAACTGGCGAGAAATCTGTAAGCGTGGCAAACTGTTATGTTTATTTCACTTAAAAGTAGATACGATCAATGTGCAAAATATTAAGGGTCAAGTATTCAAGCATTCAATACGATATACGAGATAATTAAACAAACATATGACGGGCAGAGATTCCTGCCAGATGGTTTGCCTCCGTCAACGTAAGATTGATAGAAACTTCCACAAGGCGCTATTAGAACAATAATTTAAACAAACTAATACACCCGCCTTCAAAAGTCTTGCACCCCCCTAGTTATTTGGACATTTTAAAATTTTGTAAAACTTTGCAGACCCCGTCGCTTAATCTAGATCTGGAGAGGGAAGGCTTCTAAAAAACGGCAAAATGGATTTAATTTCAAGGAATTATTAGTTATAAAAAGGAAACTCCATTCCGGACGCAAACATGTTAAACATTAAAAAATCTAATGAACGACTGAAAAGAAAAAATTCAACAACATAATTAATATTCAGTATTTGAGCCTCTACTTCTTAACAACGCATTCACAAGTCTGTCCATTCCAATAATCAAGTTATTGATTACTTCCTGAGGGATATTTCCCCATTTCTCTGTAGTAGCAATAATAAGTTCTTGGACCTTTCTTGGTGGATTATTCCGATTGAAAATGGCTCTTGATACATAATTCCAGACGTGTCTGGCAATCTAGTCTTGCGATGTTTCGGTTTTCTGATACCTCTTGAACAGCGCTGGTGCTATGTGTCCTGACATTGTCAGCCATAAAGATAAACTGGTCTCCTAATTCATCACGTAGGGGTATAATTATAGGAATAATATTATTTGCAAGGTAAGATGCACCTGCCATCGACACCGATGTGTGAATAAGTGGGGTCCTTCTATTGAACATAATACCCCNAAATCATTTGTGTTCCACCGCGATATGAAGCAACTCCAACGGCTGTATGAAGCCTATTTCGGCGTCCTGCTTCTCTCCAAACTCTTACTCGGTAATCATCGCTCACCAATCCAAACCGAGATTCATCGGTAAAGAGCAAGATTCTGCACTCTGCCCATCGCCAGTTTTGATGGTCGAAACGGGCGCTTCGGTGGCRATGAGTTAACAAAGGAACTCTTAAAGGCCTTCTGGACCGCAATCCTGATTATAAAGRTCTTCGGCGGATTGTAGCACTGGATATCAGACGGTTATACGTTCTCTGGAACTGAGATCTTAGTGCTGGTAKGGTGACTGAGTGCTCTCTACGGGCTGATTTGAGAAATATAGCGATCTTTGCGTATCGTGGTAACGTGAGGACGACCACTTCGAGGTCTGCTGTTCACTTCACCAGTCTCTTCATAGCGTCTAATTGTCCTGCTAACTGTGCTTCTGATAAAGTTCAGCCTGGTGGAAATATCGTGCCTAGATAAAGAGCCTGGGCCGTTTGCCACAGAACAATAATTCTAGTACTATCAAAAGCTTACAACTCGTTTCTAGGTATGTCTCACGATTCTTGCACGATTCAGATTCTAATGCCAGCGACTAGTGATCAGTATAAAGGTGCAATTTTTGCAGCAACGCAGTTTCAAAGGGGCAAACAATTTTTTTATTATTTCGCCGTTTTTTCTACTTGAAAACAAGTGGGTTTTTTACTAATAAAACAATTCTGTATAAATTAAGGGTATGTAGTAAATACAGAGGGGTGCAGGACTTGTGTGCGTGTGTACCTTCAAAACGCAATACTCAGCAGCGCCACTGAGAAGCGCCGCACAGTGACCCGTGTGAAAAGGCGCTTATTACATAGCCAGGGTTCCTAAATTGTACAGGTGGTCTGGTAACTTTCSGCTAACTTTATTTTAAACGATTTATCGCTCCTAATGGAGGRCAATCTGTCCCTTCTTTTCTTGGTGATTTCCCATAATTAAATAAACTYGCCCAAGCCTTTGGAATTGCCTAGCAGCAGTGCCATAGAGAMAGGAGAAGAAGCTCGCCCAAATCTGTATACATTTAAGGAAGTCGACCTTAACCGGAATTAAACCTTATCTKCTCCTAACGTTAGCCAAGTAAAAAAGATAGTTCGGTTTCTAATTATATTTTCACCACATGTTATATACATGCACCATACAGGGTGATTCAAAATTGGCGTCATTCCTCCGGAGGTGTTGTCTGGCGGTGTTTTAGGAGTACAGAGAACATAGTAAAAAAAATTAATTGTTCTTAAAAACTGGGAAATTTGCCAAACTAAACTATATTAGAAAAACGGCAACAATGTTTTTCAATGTAATCTATTGCCTATCTTCCAATGAAACATGGAACACTTTCAAAATAATGTTTAATAGCAAAGTTGAAATTCGATTTGCAACTGTTAATATCTTCTAGAAATTATCGAAAAAAAAATTACAATATGTTTCTCGTACCCTCCAAGTGAGCCCCTGAAAGGGAATGACGCCAATTTTGAATCACCCTGTATATGCTTGTGTTTGTTTCGATTTATTGTGCTCAAGTAGTGGTAAACACCACATCAGTACTTTTCTTACCCAACCAATTCACTAGATAAATCACCCTACACAATTCAACCCCACAAGCCCATAACCGCGCCGATAGCGGTTACAAACCCTTCATGTATAATGAAAAAGACCTTGACTTACATCAAAACTATTTGTTAATACAAACATAACATTATTTGACCAGACAGAAAATAATTTGGGATACAAATATGTTTTCATTAAGAATCACATTTTATCTTACGCAATATGTTACGCAATAAGTTGTGCGAAATAATATCAAAAGTGGTTGCTGTTTATAGAAACATAACATGAGTAGTATGGTAAAAACCATGTTTAGACAATAACATATTTCGATGCTAAGTATGGTTATTATCAATTATTTATAATTATTTGTCTTGCAGACAACAATGGAATGTTTGAACGCGATATTAATATCTGGATAAATCCGTCATATGTACAGAGTGCATCACATCAAATTGATAATCATATTATTGTTATTGATCTTTTGATTGATGATTCAATCGTTCTTTTGAGTCTGCCAGTGAGGGTACATGTTTATAATGGGTTCACAGCGAAATTTTTAAATATTTGTTTACCTCCCGTATAAGCAAGGCGTCCCCTAATTAAACGGTAGGCACTTCTACATTCTTTGGCTCAACAGAATACAATTTGATCCAACAATTTATTACACAAAATATCGTGATGATAAAATAATCTGAAAAAACTTGATGATTTGAAATATCCAATAGAATCATTAAAAAATCTTGGAACCATGAATACGTTTTATAGGTACTGTGTTTAAAAACCAAGAAGTGCAGCTCGTGATAATGCTGATAGTCGAGGAGGTCATAAATTATTAATACTAAACTATTTTATTTGTTAACATTTAATTTATTGTCAATTAAATATAATTTATAATACTTTTAGTGTTATGAGCTAACACTACCTAGGTAGCAGCAATGAGAAATATGACGTATTTTTGGTTGGCTGCATAAATAAAATTAGTCTAAAAAGTCAGTAGTAATGATATGCTTTCCAACAAACTTAAGTGCATGTAAGTCGCTTTAATCCTAACCAAAAACCACCTACTGGTGAAGGACGGAATGATTTTTTACATAACTTCAACGGAACTGTTGTTACTTTGGTTGGTTCAATTTCAAAGTTCAACAGCAAGTGATAAAATAAAGTCTTCAGTTCTAAAAGCGCAAATCTTGAAGCAATACAGTTTCTAGGACCAGCACCGAAAGGCACATATGTGTACGGCTTGATATTGCCTTTATTCTCATCTGAAAATCTTTCCGGGTCGAATTTTGTGGGGTTTTCGAAATTTTTCGGATCTCGATGAAATCCAAACATTGGAATCCAAAATAAATCGCCAATTTTTAAATGAACAGGTTTTTCATCGGCGTTTACTGGCTCAATAGTATACGGTTTAGTAGCAACCCTGTCTACTACTCCTGCAGGCGGCCACTTTCGTAAAATCTCTGAAAATGAGAAAATATCACATATATTATAGGTAATCTATGTGGAATTTATTACGAATCTAATGGAAATCCTTGATAACTTATCAGGAACTTGAGACTGATCGTAAAATATTAGGTTTAGCTGGTAATAGAAAACACTTTATTGCACTAAAGACAAAATTTCATTTATAATGGGGCTGTAAGTTAAACAATTATTTACCGGATATCACCATATCCATATACTTCATCTTCAGCAAAGAGTCATATGTTACTTTGCCACCATTTAACCTGTGGGTTTCAACAATTTCACTTCTTAATTTATTCTGTATTTCTTTGTTAACTGCCAGTTCATAAGAACCAAAACACAAGGCATTTGAAATAGTTTCAAATCCAGCCACATAGAAAACCATTGCTTGAGCAGCTATATCGTCATCTGTTAAATTAGCGAACTGTGACCCTTTACCTAGAAATTATTTCAGTTTAAACATATACATATGTCGTATTTGAGACACTAATAATATACAGGGTGTCCCACCGAGAACCGCCGTGGTCGATATATGGCAAACTATAATTAGGATATATGTATTCGAAAATTAGACAGTGTGCCAAAATCATTAGGGGCAAACGATCTAAAATATTTTCAAGATGGCCACGCTACCGGAGGTAAGTATCAATGAGGAGTCTAACCGTTTTTGATATATCTACTTCAAACTTTATGTAAAAAATTACAGTTGCATCCACTCGAATAATTATTCGTTTTTTTTATATAAGCGAATACGTCCTACTTAATTTGAGTCGAATTTCTTGTTGCAGAGGACCTACTTTAATGGAATTTCGACATTTTGATAAGTATTAATACAAAGGGTAAAAAAATAAGTTTCAAAACGACTTTAGAAAACCGTCCAAAATCTTTTTTTTTTCAAATAGAAACCCCAATCCATTTTTGACAATTTTATCTTATTAAGTATTAAATATAAGGGTAAGTTTGTGTAAAGTTGTCTATTCCAAAAGTGTGAATTTTTCGCAATATTGTCAATTTAATGTTTTCGTATTGTTATTTTGTCGCATTTTGTTTGAAATACTGTCACTTTTAGTTGTCATGACGAAAGTGGCCATTTTTAATACAACAAATGCCAAAGCAATGCTGACAGCTGTCAGTTACCCTTTGAACGTTATTAATAATTATGCCCGGACGCATAGTGAGATTTAGTTAATCGGTCAACTGATATTTCAAAAGCTTGATTAAATCAAATTTATTCAATAATAATCTAAAGCTTAATTTAAACTTCCCACAGTAATAAAAAAGTGTGTCTTATTTAAGCGTCATTAAGATTCCTGTTACAAATAATTTAAGCACCCTGAACCTATAGGTGGAGAAAAATATAGTCTGTGTACATACCAGAATGTGTATATTCTTTGACAGTAGCAAAACCTGTTTCAATGGCTGCAGAATATTCATGTTGAGTTCCTTTTCTTGCCTCTAATAATATATTTAACATGTCCTCTCTAACGATTCCTTTTTCTTCTCGAACTTGAATAGTCTCCTTAATAGTTTTGTAGAAAAACGATGATATGTCTTTCTCAAATAGACCAATTTTCAGCAACTAAAACGATAACACGTTAGTTGTGTACTCGCATATACGGGGTAGTCCGTAATGAATACGTTTTAGTGTGTAGCCGCAGATGCTAGATATCAGAATTAAAGGATTAATCAAACATACTTTACTAAAATTTTGCTCCATGAGGATAATTCAGGACGTTAGCGTTTCTATTTCAATTACAAATTTATGCGCAAAAACTTCGAATGTACTTCTAGTTTTCAGGTACCTGCTACACGTAGACGGTAGATACGCTCTGCTGTTAGATTATTTTGCATTAATAATTTTTACTGGAAAGGTATATAGGAATTTTGAATGGCAGAGTTGTTGGACTGATTGTTTGTTCGATAAAATATCTACTAATTTGTCGTCCATAAGCCAGCCAGTTTTCGAAATATTGAGAATTTTATGAATAATTCATAAATTATGTCAACTCAATCAACCGATAGGTAATTGCAATTTAATCATAACAATTAAATGTCAATCATCAACTCAAATAATCTATCAAGTCTGGGAAACTGTTTGTCAAAAATCTAAAGTACTCTTCATTCTCATTCATATGGACCAACTGTACAATCGCATAAAGTTCCTAAAATAGATAGTATAAGCGTTTATTGATTGCTTTAATTGGAAATATTTTGAAAACGGACTGGACCATCAATAACACACATGTATAACTTTCAACCTCAAAAGTCTTGCAAATGCGTTATTGGTTATTGAAAACTGTCACATTGCTTACCATTAATGGACGTTGCTGAAACATAACTAAACAGCAGATCGTGCATAGCGCGTACGTAACTTAAAACTAAGCATAAAGTCGAATTTCTCACCTCTAAAAACTCACTATTGCAAATCACTGAAAAATTACAATTAAAATGGTTACTTTTAATTAAACCTAATTAAACTTGGAACTTTGACATGTATTATAGCAATAGAACAATATTTTACAAAGAGTATGTTTGGTTAAATCCTATTAATTGGACTTCTAGAATCTGCAGTAGCTATATGACATTCACCACGAATTACCCTGTATTCTGAAAAAGTAAATAAGAACAAAGTTACCAAAGTAAATTACACTTGACTGAAAGCAAAATGATCCATTTTAAGACTGATTATTCACCTTTGCCACTCGCGGCGCTATCAGAAATGCGAAAAATCGCAAGCGTTTGATCAGAGAAGAATAATCTGTGATCCGCTTTCCCATTATGTGGAAAGGGTTGTTTGGAGATTTGAGCGAATCCACTTCGATCCCAAAAGCGGTTGTAGCAATTATGTCGTTGGCAAATCTGAAAATGTAATTAACGAAAATGTACAGGTCTTCTATTGTTCAAAGGCCGAACATTTTTGAAAGAGATGATTTAATTTTTTTACCTCGAAAACGTATCCCTCATTTCTACTTCTATGAGTGTTTCATTTTTGTTTAAAAAAAAAATTACAAAATTTTCCGCAGCCCCATTCATGACATGGAACATTCTCTTTATTTTGCTGCTCGAAAATGAACCGCTCAGGGTGGCTCTCATATCTTTCCATTTCCGACCTGAAGAACAGCAAAAAAATACTATTATGACAATTTTTAATTTTTATGCAGCCTAACCTGTCAAAGCAAATAAGTTTCCAGACCATAATGGATCTGCGTCAGCATCTACTAATATTCGATGATCAGTAAAGTGGTCGAAATCTCTGACAGTTAGCTGTTTAAGTAACTCAGGATCCTTAATAACTAGAGTGGGTATACTGAACTGATACATGCCAGAATAGCTGTAAAGATATAATCAGAGTCACATATGGAAGAGACGAGTACATATTGAAACAAATAAATACCAAAAGACGACAGCACATGCATAAAAGTCCCATCTACACAAATTTGCTTAAAAGGTTCTATTATCTAGTAACATAAAATTTCATCAGGGTGAAACGTTTAAATTCATTGTAACAGTGTTAAATTCTTCACCATTAGCAATCTTACAAAAAGAAAGAACAGGTAGCACGAAAGGTTATAGGAAATCTTTCCCTCCCGATGCTAGGATCTGAGGACGGGAGTAGTTTAAGTAGTAATAATTAATGAAAAATTAGGAGCGGTTGCTATTAGTGCCAGTCGAAATCGACTTGTAAGCGATTTGTGTCGCTTTATACCAGCGACTAGTGTGTTTTAATTATTAATCGGATGAATGCATCTTACAGAGTAGCCTCTTCGGAATTTTAATTATTAGTTGAATATTAATGATTATCATGTTAATTATTGAGTTTCACAGAGTAACTTTTTTGACTGTAATTGAATATTCATTTCGACTTTCTTTTTATTTATTTATCTTTGAGAATGTTAAACTGGGTTCCTTTAAAATCTATTTGAACTTAAATAAGGTTAATGCTGGATATAAAATCTTAAAGAGAACACAAGAGAAACTCGTTAAGTTGATACCAACATAGCAAGTACTGGCTATGAAGTTGCCGCAGTATTCGACTCAAATTTAGATTCAGTTCGAATAATTAACTTAGTTAGGGACGAGTACTAGCTGTGGAGATTCCGCAGTACCTAGACTCTGAACCAACACTGTCTTAAGATCAAGGCCCACGCGCTTACGAGTGGCGTCATCCCATGTAGGCCAGTTTATTTCCCATTTCGAGGGCGTTAGTATGGATTAAATACCCTGTTACTGGTTACTCCGTTCTTAATGTTTTTGCGTCAATAATTATTAGATTTACCACAATAATTGTTAATAAGTGTTTTGGAAAGACTGCTGAGAATAATATTCGCAATATTTTTAATTGAATAATTACTGCAACCCTAAAAATGAGTGAGATGTGGTTGGTCAATAAGATGCTTTTGAAATAGGTTGAAAACGAAATATCTTTTATTAAGATTCTAAAAATATATTCTCAAAATACTAAATAACTTTTTTAATAGCTTGTTGCCTTTTTATAACTGGCGCAGGATTTTCGCTTTCTTCGATAGCTTGTGAAAAACGTAATTATTCAAGTTCTTTCAATTTCGCAACTTTACTCTTCCGAGTTTTGATATCTTTAGTAATATATATCGAGGATAATTTGCAACATTGACGGTATTGCATCGGCCTAAATGAAGGTTTTTTAGATTAATTGATAGTATTTCACCTATGAGGAGATCTTAGTCTTAGGTTATCCATAGAATACAACATATTGAGAAATGAAGCTTACACACTACTCTTGGGTTGGAACCATATTATTTACCGTCAACCCCGTGGGGGGACCGTCGATGTGGTCTAACTTCTGTGCAGATTTAATCTACTGCTCAATTCATTCTTTACGGACGAAAAACTGGCCTACATTGTCTGACGTCATCAAACTTTTAGATTTCAGCACTGCAGCCTTGTTCTTAAGACGCTATTGTCTGAACCCGTTGAGAGTTCGTTAGTAGGAGAGTACTGGCTGTGGGGA